TTAACATTAGACAAAATATTACTTAAGACAAAAAGTATTATAGAGACAGAGGACACTGTAGTGACATTTATCTGCAATGAGAAAAACTAGAAATTCTAGAAAGTTCTGAAGCAAAATAACTAATGAGTAGTGAAAGAACGAACATACTAACATACTTGCCCAACTTAAAAGAAAAATATTTTTCTCTAAAATGCACACAAACAATAACAACCTAAGAGCTGAAACAAGGGTAATAAACACACCAGCTTCAATTCCCTGGTTCAAGTACCAAGAGATTCTGGGCTGTGGAAATTAGGCTACCCCTTGGGGAGAAAGGTCTAGGCTTTCAAACAGAACTAAGACACCTAGTATAAAGCCAAAACTATTTGAGAAAGTGTGAATTGGAGAAAAAAAAAATGTAGCAAAGGTTTCTACGGATAATATTTGTTTATTTTTGCAAGACTGCAGAAGAGTGAAAGAGGAAATTTGTTGCGAAGCTTTAGTCTGAGGTTGTCAAGGAGTGTCCTGGAATTAAAATGATGCAGTTTTCTATCGCCACCTAGTGTCCCATGGCTAGGATCCAGAGTGTTCAATGAATTTTCCTCCTATATACCCTTCAGGTAGGGAGTGTAATTTTGTAGGGGTTGATCATTTATTTATTTATTGAACAATTTGTTTGATGGGAAATTATTATGTGCCGGGAGCACCATTAGTAACTTTGAATGTCTAAATAAAAGATAAGTTTCAAAAGACAAAGTTTTCTTTGACACATTGGAGACAGTCAAGTTTCAAAACAAAAAGCTTTAGATGTATCAGTTTCTCAGTCATACAAGGAATTTCAGATTAAAATTATATGAGACAAAAAAGCAACTAGGTATTAAAATTTGAAGAAATAACAGAATAGCAAGGAACAAAGGAAAAATTATAAATAGTTAAAATCAAAGTTTCATACATTTATTACAAATTTCTTCAGTGTAGAATTTCAGTTTTCTCTTTTGATTTTTAGAAATAATGAAAATATTTTTGTTAGCTCTTGAAAAGTGCTGTGCCTAATGGTTAATTGACTCTTTATGCACCTGAAGATCAAATTTTAAAATATATTTATTCAGTTGGGAAGTAATTATCCACACACAGATACTGAAACCTTACAAGAAATACCCTACAAACAGCAAGGTGACCTTGGAGTTAAGAGGGGTGTCTTCATCCATCAGATATATGGTGAAATGAGCTCTGGAGTTTGGAGTTTCTTATGTGTAAATGACCACAGTTGTGCTCAGAATGGATGCCTGCAAAGTCAAGGTTAAAACACTGGCTGCTCAAAGGCAAGGTCCCGTTCACAAGCTGTGAACATCCTGGTAAAAGACTGTTGGCCAAACACTGACACAAAACTATAGTCTGCTATGTGGGGAAGCTGGAGTGGCTTAATATGGTGTGAGCCTAACATTCTCAGGTTGTGCTAGAGTATGGGAAAATGGTTTTCAGATGGAGTGGGCCCTAGGTAAGAGCTTATAGTGAGTCGGATATTTTCGTCATACTTGTCTTGTTCCTCCTGGAATAGGATGGCATGTCCTTCAAAACAAAGCTATTCAAATTTGGTATCAGTACTAATAGTATTTCTACCAGCTAGGTAATTTGGAAATATAAACTATTGCCCTCTAATCCAGAAATGGATCTCAATGGATCAGAAACTATTGGGTTGGTGCCTAGCTATTTTATTTTTAAGTGTTTCAGGTGATTTTGATGCTCACACAAGTTTGAGATTGTTTCAAAGCACTGTGCTTCTTTTACATTGATTGGATAGGGTAGAGGGTGACACCTCAAATAGTGGCTTCAGGATCATTCTGGAAAGCCGAACACTTCTTAGTACACTCACATCCCCACTCTCCTTCAGATCTTGATACCATAAAATGTAAAGATTGATAGTAGGCAGATGGTTGAATGGATGAATAGATAACCTTGAAAAGTAGGGATCAGAGAAGAAAGATTTTAATGAATATTTACTTCTAATTCTCCATAAACTTTAATTATAGGTGTAAGCTTATTCACCCCTATTTTGGGTTGACAGCCTTCACCCTGGGTCATCTACAAGCCATGCCTAGATGCCAGTCCTGGTCACATGTGGGTACTAGTGTATAATCACAAGATGCCAGCTACGTAATGTATTGTCCCTTCTATAAGATGCTTTCCCTGGCTACATGACAGCTGTGAGATGTATTGACTTTGCCATGGATCAAATACAGAATGTATTGTCTCTGCAACAAGAAGTTTTCCCTGGCTGCAACCTAGCTACAGAATGTTCTGAACTGGCTGATATCTCCAGTGTCCAGCTGTGACTAGAAAGATTTCTTGCCCCAGACCCTTCTTCTGCCTTCAGACGCTTGACACTATATCTACCTCTATGGCTGCAAGAGCAGTTTGCTAGTCTTTATACCATGAGAGATAGCCATTAAAGTCTTCTTTCTTCTATGCGATTGTGTGTCCAAGTGGTTTTCTGGGTTGGCGTTTACAATAATTAATTATATTTATAATGTTTCATTTAGAGGCTTTCCACTCCTCTATTCAGACTTCTAGCAAAGGTAGTCTATGTTAAATAAGGAATTCTTAGTAACTAGGTTTTTTAATAGCAATAAATTCCATTTGTATAAATCAAATACCAATTAAATAAAAAAGATAAAATATCCTGTTGAAACTCCTCCACTCCTCAAGGATCTCTGTTTGATGAATCAATGTTTAGTAAACTTGATGGATTGGACTGGGGTGGGATATGTAGTATATGTCAGACTGTTCTCATTTTCAAGCAGATTATAGTTTTAATGCTTTGTAACTTTTATGGACAGATGCATATCTTCAATTACTTTATACATTCACTTCTTTTCAGCATATCTCTCCTGATTAAAGAAATAAAAAATATGTATTTGTTAGGTGTCATTTTACCATCAGAATTAATATTTCCTATATAAAGAGGGATCTTTTTATTTATGCTTGAGTAATGGCCTATATTAGGAATCTTTGCTCCAGTGTTACTTGTTACTATTAATTTTCACAGATAATAGCTCAACTTGTGCTTAGTCAAAGGATATCTCTGTATAACATGATTTCAGTTTCAAATCTTTCCACTCTTCTTGGGTGGAACTTATGTAGTTCAAGAGTGCATATTTTCTCCCCTTCATTTTGACTTGAAAAGATTCATATTTTGGCCGTTTAATTTTCATTTAAAGTCAGTGAAAAGGAAGACATAATTGCTACCAGTTGCCAAGTGGGAAGTAAATGGCCATTACTGGTTATAGAGATTCACATGAAATAGCCCAATTCCTTTTAAAATAACTCTAAATGATGCGCTATTAATTACTGCTAGGCTACCCAATCAATTGAACTACTTTGATAACCTAGTTCTCTATTCTTGTTGTTACAGACATATGTATGCTTTACTTACCCTAATAATATCTTGATGTCTGTTGTTGTAAGTAGAGAACATGAAGAATGGGACAAAAGGAGGTGCCATATTACAAATCTGATGGTTAACAAAGCCTCCCAAGTGTGGTGACATTTTAGTCAAGCCACCAAGGAAAATCTTAAGAAACATGGCAAAATGGGAAGTATTTTATTTATTGTATGATAGCTATTAATTATTCCATTTCAGACACCAAATATGTGACTAGCTCTGCTTATTCATTTCTGCCCTCCCGGCACCCCCCCCCACTCCCCCGGACTTTTCTCTCCCACATTCTACTAAAGGCTTCTCTTTTCATCTATAAACTCTTTTCCTATTATTGTTGGTTTACTTTCCATTCCTTTTCTGAATCCTTAATTTGTTACTCTTCTCACACCTCTTTCCTGAAATGGAGTCATTATTTGGCTGGAAGATTTATGAGATATTATATTTATAAACTATCTTGAAATTGCCAAATTTTAAAATAGAAATAATAAAATAGAAAATAATTTCTCTACAATTCTTGTTGCCTGTCAATGTAGCAAATTTCATAGTTTATGGCGAGGATGTGGGGGAAACACACAAGTGTTGCTGCTCATATAAAGAAAAGAAGCTCTTCATTCTCCTGCCCCACACCCCACCCCGCCCTGAATCTTTTCTTTCAGCCAGGATTTAGTGAAGGTAAATCAAAGAGAATACTCTTGTGACTGTACATTTGAACAAAATAACCTCCTCCCCCAAACAATTCTCCAATGAGATATCCCCTTGGAATTTCTAGCACAGTGGATCTAAATATCTACAATAATATGAGATAATAAAAAATGCAAATAGTTGTGTCACTGTTATGTTTAATGATATGTAAATAACAATTGAAAAAAATGTTCTTAACCCTATGGGTATAGTAAAGGATTAAACTTATCTAAAGAGTGATTGTCCTTGGGTAGGAGCTCATCTCTAGGCTGGAATTCCTGTCAGAAGTTTTTTTTTGTTGTTTTTGCTGTGTTGCTTGTTTTTAAACCTGGGGACCAGGCTTACTATAGTTCATTGAACAATGTGATTTGTAGTGGGAGCTTTGGGGCCATGCCATATTTGTAATACTTCTGGACAAACAGGAGACTAAAGACCAGTCATGAATGCAGTCATTTCTGTGGTCCAGGGTAAGTTTTCCTGGTTGTGAATAATCTGGGTGCATGTTGTTTTATGTCTTTGACAGAGATGTGTTTGAAACGTTGATGCATTCTTTTATTTCTTTACTTGGCCGATTTTAATATATGTCCTTCTGTGAAACTGTAATTTTGTGTATCATAGTTTTGTGAGTTTATTTCCTAGCTGAGAGTGTTTTGGGAGACTTGAAAACTTCATTTGATGTCAACTATTACTAGTTTGTCTATTACTCAAAAATGAGATGAGTATTTTCATCAATTTAATGAGGTTGACAGTTTCTATAAGACCCCAAGCCCATTCAATTGCTTATAGATTTCTAAACTGAGAGACATATTTTAGGTGTAGTAACAAGATAATGAAAACAATTAGTTCTAATCCTCTGTGACTGAAAGTACCTTTTCTCTCTTTTTATCTCCAGTATTAACTCTAGTGCCTAGTCTCAAGACTTTCAATGACAATTTCTTGAATAAACTCAATTATAAGCAAACGTGCTGTGAACAATTAAGAGTACAATTTATCAAGGAATTTGGACACAGTTCAAAAGTCTCTTTATTCTTCATGACTAAATTCTATTTTCTTCTACTTTTACTTTGCTCTGTTTTCTTATATTATTGGAATTTTTTCACTTCATTTAAATTATTCTAGTCATATTTCTATTTGGGAAATAACTCTCCGCTAGAACTTTCCATTTCAGACACCACTCCCCCCACTCCAATCCAGCCTCATCCATCTCGTGGTTTTATTGTGGGATTCTGAACGAGTGTTTCTCATATGCTCAGCTATTCCTTCCCTGTCTCCATCAGTCTTTATTACTATATTGAGCTCTATTTAGACCGTACCCTATCTCTCAAAGTCACCTACTCAGGAAAGCAAGCGCACTGTATTTCACCGTAGACTCACATGGTCTTAACCCTATTTCTATACCACAAAGCTACTTAGTTAAACAAAAAAATGGGACAATGCTGAGGTCAGAATACACTGTTTTGTGCCTAGGAAAAGTAATTATCACCCCGTGGACTAATTCATGATCAGCGTGGAGAACTACATATGAAGACAGAACGACGTTTACTCACTTTATACAACTAGCACTGTGGCGTGTGCAGTGTCCGGTAGGCACATTATTTTCTATACAACACAGAACTAAAACTGGCTGCGAACTACAAAGGGCGCAGTGGCGCATGCTCCTTAGTCTCGTCACTTGGGAGGGCGGCAAGATCGAGTTCCGGGTCAGCCAGAGCTATGCCAAAAAGATGGGCAGTGTAGTTTCTAGTTCAGTACATGAACTTAAGAGAGAATTTGGGAATGGCAGAATTACAACTCATTTGTAGAAATCATGCATGGCTCTTAAAAGAGCCTTTGGGATTAAGTGGTAAAACGCTTACTTGGCAGGTTTATTTGGAGCTGGTGTACTTGGTGACGGCCTTGGTGCCCTCGGACACGGCGTGCTTGGCCAGCTCCCCGGGCAGCAGCAGGCGCACGGCCGTCTGGATCTCCCGAGACGTGATGGTCGAGCGCTTGTTGTAGTGCGCCAGGCGCGACGCCTCGCCCGCGATGCGCTCGAAGATGTCGTTCACGAACGAGTTCATGATGCCCATGGCCTTGGACGAGATGCCGGTGTCCGGGTGGACCTGCTTCAGCACCTTGTACACGTACACCGAGTAGCTCTCCTTGCGGCTGCGCTTGCGCTTCTTGCCGTCTTTCTTCTGCGCCTTGGTCACCGCCTTCTTCGACCCCTTCTTTGGGGCCGGGGCGGACTTCGCAGGTTCTGGCATTATAGTACAAATGGCACTATAGTACAAAAAGGCAGGGAGAAAAATCTGACAAAAGTAATGCAAACGGAAGCGTTGTCCTCTTTCCCGGTAATTTATAGGGCCGGTATTCAAATGAGGTTGGTAAGACTTCCTCCTCGATTGGATTACTTTACTGTGTCGTCACAAATGAGAATGTAAACGACACTTTACCTACTCTTTCATTGGCTCTTTTTGTTGCAGGATTCACCCAATTGGAAAGCCTAAACGAGACTACTGAAAGCAGTTCTGAAAATAACTTTAAGTGCTTTCAGTCTGCAAGTTCTATGTTGAACTATTTTAAAGTTATGTCCTGGTACAGGGAACAGCGCCTAAAATAATAGCTAATTCCCGTCCACCCTTTCAACGAATATCCTCAGCTCCACAATATGTTGGGCTATTACAGGCATTTGAAATTCAAAATTTCCACAAATCAAACACCAAGTCATAATAGTACATTTATTTGGTTACGTTATGCATACTTTGAGCTGAAAGTTTGCATGTGCGAACTGCTAACAAGTACGAGCCATAAGAACTGGTTACCTAAAGTACTCCTCGGTTTATTGAACATCAATGAACGTTTCCGGGTAATATCGCTAAGTCGGCGCCTCCCAGATAAGCCCGCCCCCCACTCCTAGCAACGCCCACTGAGTGTGCAACAGCTCTTTTTGCTGAGATCGGTGGGTGGCTCTGAAAAGAGCCTTTGGGTTGTGTTGTGCAAAGCAGTTGGCCAAAGGAACTTTATTTCTTCTTGGCTGCCGCCTTCTTTGGCTTGGCTGCCTTGGGCTTAGCGGCCTTTGGTTTGGCCGCCTTAGGCTTCACAGCCTTCGCCTTGGCTGGGCTCTTGGGCGCCTTCTTCGGCTTGGCTGCTTTCGCCTTTTTCGGGCTTTTCGCCTTTTTAGCTCCTGCAGCTGCCGCTGGCTTCTTTGCCTTCTTTGGGGTCTTCTTGGCGCTCTTCTTAGGGGTGGCAGCCCCCGTAGCCTTCTTGGCCTTCTTTGCAGCGCCGGCAGTCTTCTTGGCCTTAGCCGTACCTGCCTTTTTCGCTCTAGGCTTGGTTTCCCCGGAGGCCGCCTTTTTGTTGAGTTTGAAAGAGCCCGAAGCGCCGGTGCCCTTGGTCTGCACCAGGGTGCCCTTGCTCACCAGGCTCTTGAGACCCAGCTTGATGCGGCTGTTGTTCTTCTCCACATCATAGCCCGCAGCTGCCAGTGCCTTCTTGAGCGCGGCCAAAGACACTCCGCTGCGCTCCTTGGAAGCGGCAACTGCCTTGGTGATGAGCTCGGACACTGGGGGCCCGGACGCCTTGCGCTTCGCAGCACCTGCAGACTTGCGGGCCTTCTTCTTCACAGGCGTCTTCTCGGCGGGGGCCGGAGTAGCCGGGGCGGCAGGCGCAGTCTCGGACATGTTGACGCGGGCTTGTAGAGAGCAACTCGAGCCGGAAGCAGAGGCACTGGCCAGAACTCGGGCAGTGGCGCTGCGCCCTCCCGTTTATATAGGGCGGAGCTGCTCCGTGATTGGTGCGCTGTCCAGCCCGCCTCGCTGGCAGACACAGAGTGTCCTCTCCGATCCCGAGTTGTGTTTGTTACACCTCAAAAAAAGCCAAAAATATAAAAATTCTCTACACAGAATTGCGGGATTTTTCATGGATAATGATCCCCGAAGTCTCAGGCTTCATGCACATCTCAAATAATGGGGAAAGGATCAAACCTTGTGCCAAAAACTAGCAATATTTCCCGCCCTGCTCTGCAAATTTCAACTCAGAGAAACAAAACTTTCTATTTTCTTCGTAAATTATAAACTGATCTTTAACTCTGGAGTTTTTTGACCTATCAAATATCATTCTCCAAGTTGTTAGCTTCTTATATATCCAAGATCCATGCCACTGGCAGTAAGATTTTTATTACAAATCTGCACTTAAGTGAAGGAAGTAACACAGGCTCCTCGGAGAGTCCTGCCTATTGAGCCGAGGGCATTTGAGTTCATCAAACTGGTTTAGTTTAATGATAAACAAATAACTGCCCGTTTGGGGTTAAATTTTGGACCCCTAGGACATCAATCTACGCAACAATCCATTTATTTCGGTCTGATGTACCTAACTTTTAAAATAATTCCTTGTGATAATTCCATTCCTTTCTGCTCCCAAGGGTTGGGGGCGGGGCTGTTGCTTCTCTCTTGCTCTGGACAACTACTCCATAGGTTGGGATACCTTGAATTTAGAATATTAGGGAAATAAGGGAATCCAAAACAGCCCGGACATACATATGAAAAAGGATAAATTTTAAGTAACACGTAAATAATGCTCATAAAGTCATTGGAAGTAAAAGTGCACTTTACAAAAGAATTTAGCAAAGATGCTGACAAATTCTCCAAATTCTTTTGTCATATGTTTCGGGATTACATTGTAATATGATATCTACAAATGAAGCATAAGCATCGATCATAGAGTAGAAAGGAATGAGAAATGTAGGTTGGAACCTTACTATTCCCATTGCTTGAGAAACACAGACCCCAATATTACTATTTGATGACATCTACCCACCATATATGGTTTTAGTCCTTACCATTAGTATAGTCTATGTTTTCAGGAGATCCTTAAAAATAAATGACATATAGGGACTGAATGACAAGTACGACTTTTCTTCTCAGAAATAGATCTTGGAGAAGTTATCCTGGCTAAGTAATTGCCTTCTGAAAACTTTCTTTGCCACTTGTTGAAATAACGATAGTTATTCAACTATTGAAAAAGATAAGTTGATAATGGAAGTCCAATGTAAGGGAGTATTTCTGGGAAACTGTGACTAGAATTTTTAAAATTGTAACCCACTCACTAGAGACCCAAGGAATAAAATATTGCTTACTACTACAAGTCTATTTGGCATACTTTTCTGGATATGATAATTATATATCATTGTACATCAGTTTAATTATTAGCTCTTTTGCTCCAAGTAGTCATGTGCATAATATAAAACAGCAGAAATTTGGAACAAAACCAACACAGAATGTAAATGCAATATTAATGAGGTGTTTTAAACACTGCAGCCTTGTTAAATTTGACATAAAATGATACAAATTATCAGTATTAGTATTTTTTAAATCTTAGTATGTAGTTTCAGTGTAGTGTGTGCTAGTAAAAGGCAAATGTATACATACATATTAATAAAAAATACATAAAGCCTCAAAAGAGTACACAGAAACTGACTTTGTGGGCATTTAATTAGAGTGATAGGATATTATCGGTTGTTAAAGAAAAGCAAAAATATACCTTAAAATGAAGTTTTTAAACATATTGGATCTCAAATGCCTCTGTTTGTTTGTTTTGTTGGTTGTGGGGCTTAAATCACAGCCTGGGTACTGTCCTTGAGCCTCTTTGTGTTCTACCACATGCAAGGCAAGCACTCTCCCACAGAGCCACCTTCCCAGCCCCCAAATGCCTTATTTTTAAACTCTTTGGTTTATTTATTTATGTTGGTCTTGGGCCTTGAACTCTGGGCCTGAGCGCTGTCCTTAGCTCCTCAGCACAAGGCAAGTGCTCTACCACTGAGCTACAGCGCCACTTCCGGTTTTCTGGGTTTATTGGAGATAAGAGTCTCACGGACTTTCCTGCCCTGCCCAGGCTGGCTTTGAGCCTCGATCCTCAGATCTCAGCCTCCTGAGTAGCTAGAATCCTAGCCACTGGCGCCCGGCTACACTCTTTGTTTTATACTTGATGTAGCTTTCAAAATTCTGTGATCATTCAGTTCGTTTCTGATGAATAAAAGTTTTTGACTATGAAGACATTGAAGACTGATTTGATTAAGTTAAAAAATAATTTCCTTTAGTGAAATAAGAACAATGTCAAAAGTTTCACTTATTTATTGGTGTGCTGTTGAGGCTAGGTCAAAATTACATTTGTATAGGCACATTTTTATTCATATGTTTTAAATATTAATTTGAAGGCTAGGCTTCAGATGAGTTTGGATCTAAAAGATTTTCCCTAGATTTCTGAGTTTGCCTGTGCAACTTCAGAGTAGCTGTCTAGGGTAGATATGACCACAGGTTGGGAAGACAAGGCAGCAGCAACTGAATCCTGATTTTCTTGTGTTCATATATGACTAGACACTATAATAGGCTCAAAAGGGGGAAGGATCCTCCAATTCAGGATCCTCCACTTCATTATTTTCCATTCAAAGTATTGGATTGAACCTCAACTACTGATGTGCAACTTGAATTCCCTAGGACAGCATTGCAATTTCTTACATCATTTGATCATGCTTAATAACAAGTATCTTTCAGGACTCCTGTTTCGGCTCCTCTACTGACAGAGAGCTTTACTGCTTTGATGGCTTTCTTTTGAAAGAAACTTATTCTGTTTACTTAACATTAAAAAGATAATTTTTCTTTATTTAGGAGACAGGGTTTTGCTATGTTGTGTCCCAGGTTAAATTCATGGTCCTCTTACCTTAGCCTCTGCAATTTTAGGCATGAGCCACTATTCCCAGAGCCTTCCATTTATTGAAGACTGTACTGTATGCTACATGAAAGGTCTTCCTTAACCAATTCAAAACTCATCTGCTAGTGTTCCCCTTTCAAACAGAAGAAGAGCTTGAAAAAGCTAAGGAAATCTGAGCAGAATGTTGATAAATGGTTCATGCCAGATTACAGCTCATAGCAGTTTGATTTCAGATCATGTGATGTTATTTACCAGTGTTTCCTACAACATTGCAGGTCTTGAAAAACATTAAAATGAATGTCATAGTTTGAGGCCAAAGGGTTTCTTTACAAAAATTAAAATACTACAATACAATGTGTGTACATTATTTTGTAGACAGATGTGCCCCACCCTTCCCTACCTCTCTTTTCATGTAAAGGATATTTCTTCCTGTGTGGTCTCATATGTCCACAGTAGCTGGGACAATGGATTCAATTCACTGCTTTCATAGTCACTAAATATGCTCAAGTGCATTGTCCTTTAATGTGTTAAAAGTAAGTTTGTATTGCTGACATTTCTTTAAGCCTCTAAGGAACCCTGTGTGATAGAAATAGTG